TATTTATTGCTGGATAGCCAGAGTTTTAAATGATGATGGTAGTTAGACTTTTGAAGCACTGACACTACCATAAAGTATATCATTTTTCTAACTAAACTAAAACTTTTATTCTTGGGCTTTAACTTCTACAAGGTGCCATCCATTCCAAAAGGTTGTAAAATATCAACCCTCTTTACTTTGATTAATGATACATTGTCAGAGTGATGAATTCTTCTAGAGTGTAATTTGAAAGATAATATCATTCTAGGTGGAAAAAAAGTTCAGGTGAGAATTTAGAACAGTTACCAGATGAAATCCTACCATTAAACAGTATAGTGAAGGATGTGGGGGAATCTGGAAAGACTGTCAGTAAATCACATCTTTTGGCTATAGTTTAGCTTCTATCCTACAGTGAGATATATGATTTACTATGTGCCTTGAAGGCTGTTTTGGTTTGATTTTAAAACATTTTTAGCATGTAGAGTAGTTGTAGAGGTAATTTTATATATTTTCAGTCTCCTTCTCCTCCTATTGTTACCTATCAGTACTGTTACATTTAAATTTTCATATTTAGAAAATGGAAAGAAAAATATCTTTGTTGATTTTTAAAATTTGAAAATATTTTATTAATATACAGTACAGTGTTATGATACTTAATATGTATATTTATCTATTTTAAATATTTTATAAAAATAACCTTCATATTCTTACTCATTGGTTGCTAAAGTGATTATTGTTATAATCATTATATTAAGTGAAAGATAGTATGTTTTCTGTTGTAAATCTAGATATATCTTTTTAAGAAAAGACAAAGTTTATAGGGTATGTCCATTTAAGTAAAGACAAAGGTTATAGGATTAAAAACTGTTAACAGTAGTTACTCTGGGGGGTACTACTTTGCTATAAACCAGATTTATACAAAATTCTGGCAGGTATGTCCTAAACTTTTTTTTTTTTTTTTTTTTTCTGAGATGGGGTCTCACTCTGTCACCCAGGCTGGAGTACAGTGGCAGTACAGTCCAGTCCAGTGACAGAGTGAGATGGGGTCTCACTCTGTCACCCAGGCTGGAGTACAGTGCAGTCCCAGTTCCCTGCAACCTCCACCTCCCTGGTTCAAGTGATTCTCCTGCCTCAGCCCCCCAAATATCTGGGAATACAGGCATGCACCACGATGTTCAGCTATTTTTTTGTATTTTTAGTAGAGGCGGGGTTTCACCAGGTTGGCCAGGGTGATCTTGAACTCCTAACCTCAAGTGATCCTCCTGCCTCAGCCTCCCAAAGTGTTGGGATTTACAGGCATGAGCCACCGCATCCAGCCTAGATAAGCTTTTATCAGCTCCTGTTAATGTAATTAAACTGTAGTTATATTGATTCTTTAGCAATAAATGAACTTCAAATTTTAATCTATGGTATAATCCTTATTCTTTTAGATACCATAAATATACAGTACATTGTTATGATATTTAATATGTATCATTATCTATTTTAAATATTTTATAAAAATAAACTTCATGTTCTTATTCATTTGTTGTTACTCAAAATGATCATCGTTATATTATCTTTTCCCTGCAATTCAAAAATTGTAATTTAGCCAAAGTCACACAGCTTGTTATGTGGTGACCACGTCTGGGTTGAAGTTAAGTCTGTTGAGTTCTAAACCCAAGCTCATAGATATGAAATAAAATTAGTCTATGCTAGTAGGGCCTATTTTCAGCAGAGGAAGTATGCTTGAAAATAGGAGGAACCTTCATTTCTTAATTATTTTATATGGTGTGACTATTATTTATTTCTGCATACTTGGTCAAATATAAAAATAAACGGGCAAAAATAAGTAAAAAAAACAAAGCAACAAACTAAACTACCCCCCCGAATCCTTGCATATGCAATCGAATACAGAATTACAGTTTTGTGAGTTTTTTAAAGGAAGGAACAATATTCAAACCTGTTAGAGACAAAATTTAATATTTGCAGTTTCAAGAAATCAAAGGTAAAATATATTTTCTGTATCACAAAGACCTCACATAAATCTAGTAGGGAAAAGGGATTAAACTAGCATAGATAATTTGATTCTATTTCAAGTCTCGACATTTTGTAGCCATTTGACTTTGGCCTAAGCTTTCTGAACTTTTTATTCCTTGTCTGTGTAATGGGGATCATAATATCTGCTCTCTTTCTTTGTATGATAGTACTAAAATTAAGAAAAGGAAGGTATGCATACACAAGCTTACAATGTAGAAAAGTAATGTTTAAGTGTATGATGTTCTAGAAAAGAACATTTCAATTTACTTGCATTTTATTGGTTTTAGTTATGTGCTAAATTAGTAGAATTTTAAGATATTCAAATATAGAATTCTATTTTATCAGGTACCTATGATGTTTATTTTATTTTTTAGCATAAAAAATGTGGGTTTTTTACTATTTCTGATTCTCTTAATATGTTACCTAAAAATGTTATAAAAATTATTGTAACATTGATAGCAGGATTCATTTTAGGACACAAATAATCTTTGTTTTGTGCTATTTAAATAAACATATATATGAATGATAATTCTATATAAAATTAATCCTATAGCTTTTGATAGTTTAAAAACATAAAATGAAAACCAAACACATAACTGCCTCTGAAATCTATAGACCTTTGTTCTAGGACATTTTAAATCAGGCTTAGGCTGGATTACTCTGTTTTAAAAATGTTAGTGGTAAAACTACAGATGTTTCTGGAAGAGTGAGATACAACCATTGGCTTGAAATTTTTTTTTAAAAAAAATAGGACTACATAAGCCTATAGAGGTTTTCTGAGAATCACTGGGAAAATTTGGAGCAAATTCCATGGATTTGCGTACAGACAGCAATATATATGCGTAGGTCATGTTTGTCGTTTTTCATAGGTATTTTATTAATTCAGTATGAAATAACAGTAGTTAATTTGATGTTCACTGATATATTCCAGAATCAGACTGCAATGAATCTTAATAGATTTACAAAAGGTCATAACTGAAAAGTTCCAATGTAATGTTAGCTATTTAAATTGGCAACTAGATGAAAATTTAAAAAGATGAGCATTTTCATGGCAGAGTACAAAATAATTATATCTGATCCCTGCTAAATTTTTCTTAGTTTGGAGGATATTTGCTAAGAAATAAGAGCTACTGGCCGGGCGCGGTGGCTCAAGCCTGTAATCCCAGCACTTTGGGAGGCCAAGGCGGGTGGATCACGAGGTCAAGAGTTCGAGACCATCCTGGTCGACATGGTGAAACCCCGTCTCTACTAAAAATACAAAAAATTAGCTGGGCATGGTGGCTCGTGCCTGTAATCCCAGCTACTCAGGAGGCTGAGTTAGGAGAATTGCCTGAACCCAGGAGGCGGAGGTTGCGGTGAGCCGAGATCGCGCCATTGCACTCCAGCCTGGGTAACAAGAGCGAAACTCCGTCTCAAAAAAAGAAAAAAAAAGAAAAAAAAAAGAAATAAGAGCTACTTTCTGTCTGCCGTATGCCAGGTTCTCATAGAGCATCTGATGACCCTGAATCTTCTCCCTGGAGTTTAATTCAGACTCAGATGTGATCCTAAATCCTGCAGTCCCTAGGCGGACTCTGGTACTTTCTGATGGAAAACTCTTTAGAGAATGGGGCCTTCCCCAGATTTGCCAGTTCTTGGTCAGTCACTCTGACAGCATGTGGAAAGTTTTTTTTAAAAATCCGTTTTCTATATTATTTATTTTAATTCTGTAGCTCTTCTCCCTCCCTGATACCTTATTTTTACAATATGCTATTTTCAAGGAACTGTAGTAGACATAAAATCATTAAAATATATGTTTTTTTCCTTTTGTGAGCTTATGTGGTATGATGAGATGTGAAATCAATATAGTTAGGGCTGGTAGAGGTCTACGCAGGGTATTAAGAGGGTAAATGCCGTGTACAGTTGGGGGAGGGCAGTGTGCAAGTAAGGGTTCCTAGATCTGTGGGAGTAATGGTGTGAATTCAGAAGGAAAAGCAAAAGCCTGCCAGGCAAAGATGATGGTAGAGGAGAGAAGGTCTTCCTGGTAAGTGAACCTCATGAGCAAGGCACAAAATGAGAAATGACTTGGAGTGTATTAAGGAACTACAGAGAGAAGTGTTTCCTGATGTGCTCCTTTGGATAGTGAATGCTTTCTAAAGATGTTTTATCACCAAGGAATACTCATTACTGCTTATTTGGTCTCCTACTAGATTAGCTACCTTTATTTCTTTAGTTATGATGTACATAAAATATCACATCTATCTATTTGGGGTGTGCATATAGTGGAAAGCTTATGAGTCATTAGACTTACACACACCTGAGGCCACCCATTCTCTGTTGTTACCAAGGGCAAGTTATTTAAACTATCTGAGCTTTAGTTTCTTCTTCTGTTTTTCTTTTCTTTTCTTTTCTTTTTTTTTTTTTTTGAGATGAAGTCTCACTGTGTTGCCCAGGCTGGAGTGCAGTGGTATACGATCTCGGCTCACTACAACCTCCGCCTCCAGGTTCAAGTGATCTCCTGTCTCAGCCTCCCGAGTAGCTGGTACTATAGGCACACACCACCATGCCTGACTAATTATTGTATTTGTAGTAGAGATGTGGTTTCACCATGTTGGTCAGGCTGTCCTGTAAGCTGTCGTGTAACTCTTGACCTCAAGTCATCTGCCCACCTCAGCCTCCCAAAGTGCTAGGACTACAGGCACAAGCTATCGTGCCCATCCTGAGCTTTAGTTTCGTAATTCCTAAAACAGATAAAAATAGGTATGTTTTAGAATTGCCTTGGTTATTAAGTGATACATTATTTTTAAGATGGTTGGAATTGTATGAGTCCAAACTAGTTCTCTCAGTAGATGGCAGCTGTCACTATTATACTGGTTGATACAAATGTCAGTTTGTCTTTTTAAATATTAAATTGAATTTATTTAATTCTGGGAGTTATAAAATAACACAGATATGACCTAATGTATATAAATTATTTAGGTTAACATATGAGGCTTTTAAGTTATATTTTGTTACTTTTTTAATAGGCAAAATCTCAAATATTATTCAGTGTATTAGATGTTGCTCATCAGTTTATAAAGCATGGTAATCCAGAAGAACCCAAAGAGGAGAATAATTCTACAAAGAAGACCAGTACAAGTCAGTGTAAACCCAAAGCTCTACTTCTGCAGAGGAGCAGCCCTGAGGTAAACTGAGAAAAATTTGGTAGACATTTTCTGACATACATAGCCATGGCAAGCGCCATTCTGGTGCTTAACTTGAGCTATAGAGTTGGCCAGGAATTTTATCACATTATTATTTCATATGGATTTGTTTTTTATTAACCAAATACATCTTGACTGTAAAAATGTTTTCAAGAAGATTGCTTTGATTCCACTGAACGCTACTCTTTGATGAATGATCTTTTGACCATATGTCTTTCTGGACATTTTCACACGTCAGGAATTGAATGAGTATTTGGGGAAAACATTTTTTAAAAAACAATGCAATCTCACAATTTTATATTAGTCAAGACTTCATTCAGAGAAGCTAAAAATGCAAAATCTTGCCAAGAGTTTTAGGTGACAGGCAATTTCATAGTTATTTAAAACCAGATTTATACGAAATTCTGGCAGCTATTTGGATTGACTGCTGATCTGACAATGTGCTAGATAAGCTTTTATCAACTCGTGTCTATATATTTATAATAGACATATTGATTCTTTCACAAGAAATGAACTTCAAATTTTGATCTATGTTATAATCTTCATTCTTCTAGATGCCAGTCACCCCTTCCATGCAGTTCAAAAACTGTAACTTAGCTGAAGTCACACAGCTTTTTATGTGTTGACCAAATCTGGGTTGAAGTTAAATCTGTTGTGTTCCAAACCCACACTCACAGACATAAGACAAAATGTGCTCTATGGTAGTAGGACCTATTTTCAGCAGAGGAAGTATGCTTGAATTTTTCAGGAGTGTCAGCATATTTGTGTGGGTTTTACTTTCTAATAGACCTGTCAAGGATGTTTTGTGAAGAAGCCCTGCCTCCTAATTATAATAATAATGTATTGAAGAGCAGACCTCCCCTAAATATTTTGCACATTATCTCCTTTTGTCTTAATTATTCCCCTTTTTCAAATGAGAGAGTAGTGGCAAAGAATAGTTTTTTTATAAATTACCAAAGGTAAAATTGATAATGGAACTTAGATATCAGCTCAGACCTTCTGACTTCAAATTTCCTGCTTTTAATCATTAGGCAGACTGTGGCTTTAAAAGTTTCTTCTTCATGTCTGCCTTTTCATCTAATTTATCCTATCAAAAATAAAGCAGCAGCTAACTTTTATTGAATACCTGTTGAATACCTATGCTAGGCATAGTGCTTAATGTTTTACTTGCCTTATCCAATAATCACAATAACCATATAAGATTTGTGCTATTATTACCCCAATTTAACAGATGAAAAAGATGATGAGGGGTTAAGTAACTAGCCTTACTAGAAAGTGATAGAGTACTTTGTAGATTCTGCATATTAGCCCTTTGTCAGATGGGTAGCTTGCAAAATTTTTTTCCCATTCTGTTGGTTGCCAGTTTACTCTGATGCTTCTTTTGCTGTGCAGAAGCTCTTTAATTTAATCAGATTCCATTTGTCTATTCTGGCTTTTGTTGCCATTGCTTTTGGTGTTTTAGTCATGAAGTCCTCGCCCGTGCCTGTGTGCTGAATGGTATTGCCTAGGTTCTCTTCTAGGGTTGTTACGGTGTTAGGTCTCATGTTTAAATCTTTCATCCATCCAGAGTTAATTTTTGTATAAGGTGTAAGGAAGTGATCCAGTTTCAGCTTTCTGCATATGGCTAGCCAGTTTTCCCAACACCATTTATTAAACAGGGAATCCTTTCCCCAAAAACAAATTTACAAGAAAAAAACTAACAACCCCATCAAAAAGTGGGCAAAGGATATGACCAGATACTTTTCAAAAGAAGACATTTATGCGGCCAACAAACTTATGAAAAAAAATGCTCATCATCACTGGTCATCAGAACAATGCAAATTAAAACCACATTGAGATACCATCTCATGCCAGTTAGAATGGTGATCATTAAAAAATCTGGAGACAGGCCGGGCGCGGTGGCTCAAGCCTGTAATCCCAGCACTTTGGGAGGCTGAGGCGGGTGGATCACGAGGTCAAGAGATCGAGACCATCTTGGCCAACATGGTGAAACCCCATCTCTACTAAAAAATACAAAAGAAAAAAAAATTAGCTGGGCATGGTGGCACGTGCCTGTAATCCCAGCTACTCAGGAGGCTGAGGCAGGAGAATTGCCTGAACTCAGGAGGTGGAGGTTGCGGTGAGCCGAGATCGCGCCATTGCATTCCAGCCTGGGTAACAAGAGCGAAACTCCATCTCAAAAAAAAATAAAAAAATAAAAATTCTGGAGACAACAGATGCTGGAGAGGATGCAGAGAAATAGAAACACTTTTACACTGTTGGTGGGAGTGTAAATTAGTTCAACCACTGTGGAAGACAATGTGGAGATTTCTCTAGGATCTAGAAATAGAAATACCATTTGACTCAGCAATCCCATTACTGGGTATATACCCAAAGGATTATAAATCGTTCTATTATATAGACACATGCACACAAATGTTCATTGAGGCACTGTTTACAATAGCAAAGACCTGGAACCAACCCAAATGCCCATCGATGACAGACTGGATAAAGAAAATGTGGCACTTATACAACATGGAATACTACACAGCCATAAAAAAGGATGAGCTCACACCCTTTACAGGGACATGGATGAATCTGTAAACCATCATTCTCAGCAAACTGACACAAGAACAGAAAACCAGACACCACATGTTCTCACTCATAGCTGGGTATTGAACAATGAAAACACATGGACACAGGGAGGGGAATATCACACACTGGGGTCTGTTGGGGGGTGGGGAGTTAGAGGAGATATAACATTGGGAGAAATACCTAAAGTAGGTGTTGAGGGGATGGAGGCAGCAAACCACCATGGCATGTGTACCTACATAACAATCCTGCAAGATCTGCACATGTACCCCAGAACATAAAATATAATAATAATAAAAAAGGAAAGTGATAGAGTAGCCTCCTCTGTGCTGTTAATCCTTACAATAGATGTTTCTTCTTGTCTTCATAGGTAACTATGTATGTTATATATGTCTGCCTTGTCTTAACTTACAAACCATTAATCCAATGATTTCATCTAGGAGTGTATATTAAAATCAACTGTAGAAACATTAAAGAAATACACATGATCGAGTTCAGCATCTCCATGGGTGGGGTTTAGATGTGTGTGTGGTGTGTGTGTGTGTGTGTGTGTGTGTGTGTGTGTGTGTGTAACAACTCCTCAGTGATTCTGGTGAATGTTCTTGTTTGGGAGTCACTGCTGTAGATGACAGAGTACATAATATAGAGATAACCCCTTCATAGACTTAGTATTCCTCTGTGATGAAGAGCAGTGTTTCCCAAATTGTAATAAGCATTGTAAGAACTGGAAATTGTTAAAAATGTGCATTCCTGGGTCTGTCACCAAATTTGGATTTATTTATTAATTTATTTTATTTTTGTTTACATTTAGATCTGAGTCAGGGCTCAGGAGTCTAATTTTTATTTTTATTTTTTTTGAGACGGAGTTTCGCTCTTGTTACCCAGGCTGGAGTGCAATGGCGCGATCTCGGCTCACCGCAACCTCCGCCTCCTGGGTTCAGGCAATTCTCCTGCCTCAGCCTCCTGAGTAGCTGGGATTACAGGCACGCGCCACCATGCCCAGCTAATTTTTTGTATTTTTAGTAGAGACGGGGTTTCACTATGTTGACCGGGATGGTCTCGATCTCTTGACCTTGTGATCCACCCGCCTCGGCCTCCCAAAGTGCTGGGATTACAGGCTTGAGCCACCGCGCCCGGCCTCTAATTTTTAATTTAATGGCTAGAAGAACCAAATGGTACCAATGCCTGATGCCTTTCTTATGGCCTTTTTAATGGATCAAAGCCAATGGCATATCCTTGAAAAGAGATATAGTTCATGACAAAGCTTACATTTTAGAAGCTGAAGCCTGGGTTTGACATAATGATGCTGTTTTTCTTATAGCATTGTAACATTGGGCAAGGTTCTTAGCTTTTTTGATCTTCTGTTTTCTCCTTTGGAAAGTGGGAATATCAAAGCACATCATCACAGGGATATCACGTGCTTAAAGTGTAATCAGTGTACAACATTGAATTTCTACGTATGTCTTCGAATTTCTTTAGAATTGGGCAAGGTCATGTTGGGCTCTGAGTGGAAGTGATATATGATGGTTTTGAGCTGAAATGTTTAAGAGCTAATGTACAACCCTCCAGCTTTTTCTACCCTGCGACAGCTATGGGGAAGCCAGGTATTCCAATGGCATAACTCCAAGATGCAAATATCTGACATCTCTGATTCATTGCTTGGAAGGAAGCTTCCCTGGAGAGCTGCTGAAATTACTGCATATTGAAACCATTTTGTATTAAGCCACAGAATTTTTTTGTGGTTGTTCATTAGTGCAGCATATATACATAGACACACTGACATATTGCTTACTGGATACCAATAAGTGCCTTCTCACAAATACTCCTAAGACTCTATCTCCAAACTAAATTTATCCTCTCTCTTCCAAAACGTATAAATGTCATTGTTGGCAGCACCCTACCTAGCTTTCTAAGCCAACAAAGGTAGTTATTTTTTGTAGGGTTTTCACTTCCTCCTCTGTATATCCAATCGGTTATTGTATTAGTCTTCTCAGGCTGCCATAACAAAATACTACCAAATGAGTGGTATAAACAGCAGAAATTTATTTCCACAATTCTGTAGTCTAGAAGTCCCAGATCAAGGTGCTGGCAATATTAGTTTCTGGTGAGGCTTTAACTTCCTGGCTTGCAAATGGCTGCCTTCTTGCTGTGTTCTTATATGGTGTTTCTTCTGTATGCACATGTGGAGAGAGAGAGAGAGAGAGAGAGAGAGAGAGAGAGAGAGAGAGAGAGAGAGAGAGAGAGAGAGAGAGAGAGAGAGGAGAGGAGAGAGAGAGAGAAGAGAAGAAGAAGAGAAGAGAAGAGGAAGAGAAGAGGAAGAGGAAGAGGAAGAAGAAGAAGAAGAAGAAGAAGAAGAAGAAGAGAAGAAGAAGAAGAAGAAGAAGAAGAAGAAGAAGAAGAAGAAGAAGAAG